AAATAAATATGGGGGTGTGTATTCTTTGTCAGTTTGGACAGTAGCCATATCTAACCCACCAGCTGATTTCTCTTTCACTAAGTCTTAGGTTCCTCATGCATTACCTTTGTATTCTGCACTCTGTGTCGTGCATGACTATCCCATGATCGCTTGTGCTGCTGGATCCTGTTATACTGTGAGGTTTTGCTCACAGAGAATAATATCTAGCAGAAGCTAGTGGGAAGTCACTGCAAACTCCACATCTGGGGAAGGGTCAAACCCCACAAATCCCACGGCTCCACTCCTACTAGCCTGTGATCCACCCATGCCACCTTTCAAACTAGGATGAGCCATTGAGTTCCTCTCTAGCTTAGATGTGGAAACGCTTCATCTCCTCGATATCCTTCATCACTATTCCTCTAAAGGGAGAAGAGAATACTGCTAAAAAGGCAGTGGGGTTTTTGTTTTTTACTTTGGAGGTATTTAACTTATATGGAAGATAAAACAAAAACCAGTGAAGGCAAAACCCTGGAGTTTTACTATGAGGTAAGCAAGGTAAGGTCATCATCATACCGTTGGGTAGGCCGCCTTGTCTTCAGCGTGATTTTATCTCGGGATAGCTCATCCATACTAGTTACTCTGAAGAATAAGCATACCTTTTTTAGCAGCCAAGACAAGGCAGCAGCTTTAGTCTAAGAGAAGGGAAGACATTTTCCTTTTTCTGCAGCAAGTGACTTAGGTTGAAAGGAAGGGATGCTTTAGCGTAGTTAAGAGAACATACGTGTTTGGGAGGTCTAAGGATTTTTTGAGGAATAGTTTCCTTGCCCTTAGACTGGATTTTTTGAGCAGCCTCCTTAGGAAATAAGCAGCAGAAGGTGTTTAACAGTTCCCAGCAGTGCTTTTAGACTGTTTAGGGCAAGAATTATGCTGCGCTATTAAGTGAATTCACACCAGTCGGGGATCTGCACAGGTGAGCCAAATTAAGTTAAGATGTTTGCAGAACTTTGTATTTAGAACCGCT